AGTCTTCCTCAGCAAAAATAGGAGGATTGGCAGCAGATGTTAGTTCAGGGCTAATCTTCCTCACAAAAAAAAAGAAGAAAGAAAGAAAAGAAAGAAAGATGGTGTCTTTAAAAACAAAACAAACAAACAAAACAAGAATCTAATTACTTTGTCTTTCACCTTTTTTAAACTTCAGTTTTTAGAAGTTTTATATTTACAAAATAGTTGAGCAGTAATACAGAGTTTCCCTTATATACTCCCCCATACACACATGCACAGCTTCCCCTATTATTATCTTACATTATTATGGTACATTTGTTACAATTAATGAACCAATATTGGTACACTATTTTTAATTAAAGTCCATAGTTTGTTGAGATCCCCTTAGTTTTTACCTAATGTCCTTTTTCTGTTCTAGGATCCCATCCAGGACACCACATTGCATTTCATTGTCATGTCTCCCTAGGCTCCTCTGGCCTGTGACAGAACCTCTTACAGTGACCACTGCATTCTGTACCTTCCTTCAAGCAGAGCTCCCCCAAAGATCTCACTGCCTGCAATTCCTCTCCTCCCATTCTCTCCCAAACCCACTCCATTCCAGCCCCACTTCACTCCTCCAAAACAACACCTGACAAGGTAATCATTGAGCTCCATGTTGCTAAATCCAATGGCCAATGGAAATCATCGTTTAAGATGATTGGCCACATCTTCCTTCCTAGAGCCTCATCCTTTCTCTGCCTCCAGGTTCCCATGCTCTTCCATTCTTTGTTCTGGACACTCCTTCTGAGCAATTCTGCTGGTTCCTCCTCACCTTCTGACTTTTGCATAGCCAGGGCTCAGTCCTGACACCTCTTCCTTTCCTTACTGCCTGGTCATCTCATCTAGACTTAAGGCTTCATTGCTGTCTATACATACAATGACGCCTATATTCCCATCATTTGCTCATCATCTCCCCTGGAGGACCAACAGACATCTGAGTTAAACATTCAGGCTGAACTCTTCACTTTCCGTCCCAAACTTGTTCCTCCCATAATTATCTTCATGTCAGTAAATGACACCTCCATTAACCCAGTTGCTCAGGCTAAATGTCTAAGAGCCATGCTTGACTCTTCACTTTCAAAATCCACACCCAATCCTTTAGCAAATTCTGTTCCAAATAATTTCTCAGTCCAGTGACCTATCCCCCTTCTTCACCCCCACTACTACCCTGGAATGAGAAGGGAAGGACAGTGAGATGACAAGGAAGAGTGATGCTGTAGATGCCCAGGGAAGGATGTGTTTCAAGACATTGGTCAAAAAAGGAAATCTTACTAAAAGGTCAAGTACAAGCAGTGGCCATTGCAATGATTTGGCAAGAGTCTTCGGTGACTCATTGATCTTCTGGAATTTACTTGGCATATAGAGTCAGGTGGGATCAAAATATCCTTTCCCCCCCTAAATTGCAAACTGAATTTTGGGACAGCATCTCTTGACCAGGCCTCCTTTCTCTATCCATCTCTGAGACTCCCTTTCTTACCCCCTGAGATTTGCAAACCTGTAACTCTTACTAACTATACAATTCAGTGGCATTAATTAGATTCAAAATGTTGTGCAGCCATTGCCACTATTTCCAAAACTTTTTCATCACCCCAAACAGAAACTCTGTGTGGTTAAGCAATGACTCATCATTTTTCCCCCTTCCTCCTTCCCCTGGTAACCTGGCTTCTACTTTCTGTCTTTATGAACTTGCCTATTCTAGATACTTCATATAAGTGAGATCATACAATATTTGTTGTTAAAAAGACAACAGGCCCAAAATAGTGTTGCTATGCTAAGCCCCAGGTTATCAGACCAAGATTTAATTAAGAAATGGAATCTTAAACCAGTTAATCAGGAACCACCTGATCAGCACTAGTTAGGCCATCTGCCTCATAGACCCATGCTGTCCCCTCCAGGAAAGTAATTTTGCAATAACCAAACCACTTTTTTGGCTAGTATAACTTCTTTGTTCCTGCTCCCTTCTGCCTATAAGTCTTTCATTTCGTGCAGTTCCTTGGAGCTCCCTTCTATCTGCTAGATTGGATGCTGCCCAATTTGAATCAATTTTTGCTCAAGTAAACTCAAAAATTTTAATATGCCTTAGTTTATCTTTTAACACTGTCCTTTTATGTTTGGATTATTTCACTTAGCATAATGTCATTTGTCCATTCATCTGTTGATGAACACTTGGGTTGTTTCCACATTTTGTATATTGTAAATAATGCTGCAATGAACACTGGCATACATGCATCTGTTTGAGGCCACTGAAGTGGAATGCGCTGAACTTAACCACTAGGCCACTGGGGCTGAACTGGATCTCTCTTAATATGCTGCTAAATTTGATTTTCTGGTATTTTGTTGAAGATATTTGCATAGATATTAATAGGAGATATTGATCTGTAGTTTTCTTTTCTTGTAATGTCTTTTTCTGGCTTTGGTATCAGAACAATGCTGGCCTCATAGAATAAATTAGGAAATGTTCCCTCCTCTTTAATTTTTTGGAAGAGTTTGAGAAGAATTGGTGTTAATTCTTCTTTAAATATTAACATTGATTTATAATTATTGTTTTATGCTTTTCCTTTTAAATCATGTTGGAAAAAGAGAGAAGTTAAAAACTAAACTTAAAGTGAACTAATACTGGTTTTTATAGTTACCTGTGAAGCTACCTTTACTAGTCTTCTTGGTTTTTAATATGGCTTTGAGTTATTGTCTAGTGTCCTTTTATTTCAGTCTGAAGGATTCCCTTGGGCATTTCTTGTAGGATAGGTCTACCAATAATGAACTCTCTGAGCTTTTGTTTACCTGGAACTGTCTTAATTTCTCCTTCATTCTTGAAGGATAGTTTTGCTGGATATAGAATTCTTGTTTGACAGGGTTTTTTTAAATTCAGGACTTTAAATATGTCATCCCACTGCCTTCTGGCTTCCATGGCTTCTGAGTAGAAATCATATGTTAATCTTATTTATGATCCCTTTATATGAGGGGTCACTTCTCTTTTAGTTTTGACAATTTGATGATAATGTGTTTCTGTGTGGATCTCTGAGTTTATCCTGCTTGGAGTTCATTGAGATTCTTAGATGTGTATATTCACATCTTTCAACCGATTTGGGGAGATTTTGGTCATTATTTATTTGAATATTTTTTTCTGCTCCTTTCTCTTTCTTCTCTTTTTGGAACTCCCATAATGCCTATATTGTTCTGTTTTATAGTATTCCATACATTCCTCAGGATTTTCTTCATTCTTTTTCTTTCTGCTCCTCAGACTGGATAATTTCAATTGTCTTACCTTCAATTCACTGATCCTTTCTTCTTCCTGCTCCAATCTGCTTTTGAACCCTTCTACTGAGTTTTTCATTTCAGGTATTAGACTCTTCAGCTCCAGAATTTATTTTTGGATCCATTTAAAATTTTCTATCTCTTTATTAATATTCTAATTTTAGGGGCCAGCCCCACAGCCGAGTGGTTAAGTTCTTATGCTCCACTTTGGTGGCCCAGGGTTTTGCTAGTTTGGATCCTGGGTGCAGACCTAGCACTGCCTATCATGCCATGCTGAGATGGTGTCCCACATAACAGAACTAGAAGGATCTACAACTAGAATATATAGCTATGTACTGGGGGGTCTTTGGGGAGAAGAAAAAGAAAAAAAAGATTGGCAACAGATGTTAGCTCAGGGCCCATCTTTAAAAAAATTCCAAATTTTATTCAGACATTGTTTTCCTGATTTACTTGAGTTCTTTGTCTATGGTTTCCTTTGACTAATAATTCCAATGCTTGGGCTTACTCATGGACAATTTCTGTCAAATTCTTTTTTTTTTTCTTCTGTGAATGGGCCATAGTTTCCTATTTCTTTGTGTGTTTTATAATTTTTTGTTGAGAATTGGACATTCTGAGTATCACATGTAGTAATTCTGGAAACCTAATTCTCCCACTCTTCAGGGATTGCTGATTTCTGCTTGTTGAGGGGTGGGGCCATTTATTTATGACTTTTCCATTCTATCTTTGCAAAGTGTGTATTCCTTGTTGTGTGTGGTCACTGGAGTTACTGTTCAATTGTCTCTATGGTCAGCTAGTGGCCTGGCAAAGATTTCTCCCCCAAAAAAGGAGGTGGGGGTAGGGGTGGGGGAGTATCGTCTGTTTAAATCCTCTGCAGCTGGGAAGCTGCTTCAGTCTGTGGGGGTTGAAACAGCAGAAATTTACTTAAATTCACCAGATTCTTCATCAAGCTCCCCCCTGGATGCTGCAAGTGTTCAACTAGACTTCAGAGTTCCAAAAAAGTTGCTATAGACGGTTTCTGCTGGCTCAATAGTTGTTTTGGTGGAGTGATGGGATCCTAGAGCTTCTGATCCTGCCATTTTCTGTTATGTCACACTCTTTTTTACATTATTTATGAAATAATATTTTGTCAATCTAAAAGAAAAACCTAATTTGATTAGAATTGTATCAATTCTGATAATTTTGGAGGAAAGTTTTTCTGGGCAGTTGGCTGAGAATTTCTGATATCAAGTCTTGGTTCTATTTTGTTTAATAGTTTTTCTCTCAATCTATCTCCCTCCTCTTGCATTTTGCCATAAGTAGCAACAATAAACCAGGCTGCACTTTCAACACTTTGCTTAGAAACCTCTTCTGCTAAATATCCAAGTTCATCGTTTACTAAGTTCTTCTTTCCACCCAACTGTGGGATGCAATTCCACTAATCTTCCTGCAACTATTTAACAAGGATTCTTTTTCCTCCCAGTTTCCAATAACATGTTCCATATTTTCTTCTGAGCCCTCACTGGCAGCATTCTTAAAGTCCAGTTTTCTGCTAACAGTTGAAGGCAATCTTGGCTTTCTCTATTATGCTGTTTTATTTATTATTTTTTATTATTCCAGCCTTTGCTCACTGCCCAATTCCAAAGCCATTTCTACACTTTTAGAATTTGTTACAGCAGTACCTCACTCTTGGTACCAACATTTGTATTAGTTTTCCATTGCTGCTATCATAAATCACCACAAACTTAACATTTTAGAACAACATAAATTTATTCTCTCACAGTTCTTTGGGCCCGAGGTTCAACATAGATCTCACTGAGCTAAAATCAAGACATCAGTAGGGCTGTATTCCTTTCTGGAGGCTCTCAGGGAGAATTTATGTCCTTGGTCATTCCAGCTGTTGACAGAATGTAGATCCTAGTGGCCGCAGGAGTGAGTTTCCTGTTTTCTCACTGGCTATCACCTGAGGGTCATTCCTAGCTTCTAGAGGCAAACAAAATGCCTTGGATCCTTGGATGGTGGAAGATCCCTTCCACCATCTTCAAAGCCAGCAGCAGAGAATCAAGTGACTTTCACACTTTGAATCTGACCAACTCTTCTGCCCTCCTCATCCACTTTTAAGAGTTCATGCGATTACATTGGGCCCACCAAAATAATCCATAATAATCTTAAATTCTTTAACCTTAATCCTATCTGCAAAGTTATTTTTGCCATGTACTGTACCATATTCACAGATTCCACGGACATCTTGAGAGGCCATTATTCTCCCCACCACACCCTCCCTAGGAGGCACCAACTCCTGCCCCTACCAGCCTGCTCCCTCTTGCTCTCCAGAGTGCCTTCTTTCCCCTGGAATCCTGACCACATTATAGTTCCTAGAACAGGTAAAGGTCTGTCCCCCCACCAGACCCATGTACGCACCCTTGTCCTTCTGACTGGAGCACTCTCCCCCTTCTGTAGTCACCCCACTCATCCTTCAGGTCCCAGCAGTCAGCCCACCCCTGCCCCACCCGGACTGAGTCAGCCCACCTCTCTGCAGAGCAATGGCCTTTTTGAGTCTATTTCACCACCACCACCCTCTCCTATTTGTGAGTGGGTGAGGGAGGAGCCAGTTCTGTTCTGTACATCAGCTGATCCTGGCATCAACAATAGGTTAGCAAACAGTAGGTGTTCACTGAAACTTGTAGATTGTAGAAGTAGGCCTAACAAGGGGCTGATGAAGCTCAAACTTCAACACCCTTCATTTCTAGGCCTTGGGAGGAGCCCCAGAAGTGTATTCATAGGATCAAGTATTTTTGGAAAACTTGCAAAACTAAGATACTCTAACTGTATTCAGTGAGTACCTCTGTCCTTTCCCACTCAGACTCCCCTCCATCCCACCTCCCCTCAGGCAGGGGACATCAGAGAAGCTGTGACATTTTTGAGGTCCAGCCAAGAGGAAGGTAGGTTGGGGACTGTCCCAGGTTGGTTTCTCTGGGAAGCAGAATCCAAGACGGAGATCAGGATCTTTACCAGGGAATCTTTTAAGCTCAGCATCTGAGGTAGGGAGGGAAAGGGTTGGGCTGAGGGAGAAAACTAGCTGTGACGGGGCTCTTTACTGCTGAGGTAGACCCATCTGCTGGCTGCCTTCTTGGTGGCTGGCAGCAGCAGGCCTTCCTTGAAGGGGAACCCAGGCAGCATATCTCCAAGTGTACCCCAGGGACACACTTGGTTTGGGTGTAGAGGGCCTTATTTATGTGGCTTGCTCCACTCCTCTGTATGGTTAGCTTATCGTTTCTGTCCTGGTGTAGGAATGGCTTCCAGAAACCTCCGGTCAGGATAGAAGTGCAAGGTCCTCTTGCCCAGTGCTGGAAAAATTGTGGGCCATGGAGAGAAAACAAGATTTGAAATGTGTGGAGCCAGAAGCTTAGCTGTGGAAAATTCTTCCAAATCATATGCGTACTATATGAAAGAAAGTTGATGAGTTTCCTAAATTTGAAAACAATCCAGACCACTTATGTGACACCATCAATAACAGGTTACGAGAGAAATAAATTTTCTAAACTATCACTAATTAAAACACAAATTTCAATCAACCATGTAAGAAGGGAGACTGAATTGCCTTCCTATTCTCTGTATGGAAAATATTTCCCCCCAAATTACAAAATCCTTGTCCTATGCAAAGGTGATCAGAGTGAGCAGCCTGAAAATACAGGGGAAAACATATTACAGAAATGTGTCAGGAAGTCACCACAAATGTTATTGTTCTGGATTTTGCATTGTATCGTCAGCTTTTTAGCATTTGTGATTTGTCATGATTTCTTTTCTCATTATTTTAATTTACTTCTATTTCTGTTTTTGAATTCATAACATTATATTCTTTTTCAAAAGCAGAGACCTTAAAAATGCAGAGGCCTCAGTACCCACTCAAACTGACTTGCCTATGGTAGAACGAAGGGAGGAGGTGGGTAAGGGCCTCCCCTTTGGGGAGGTTCAGCCCTCACTTTACTTCCAGGGCCTGAGAACAAGGGCCACTCAGGTGCCAGGGAGTGTTCGAGACTGCCACAAAGATGAAGGCAGCCAGGGCTCCCCCTCCAGCCCCTACTCCCAGCTCAGGCTGCAGCCCCAACCAGAAGCACTAGTGGTTCAGCCAAGTTATCACCCCTGGGCAGCCCTCCCCAGATCATCTAAGTCTGCCCTGATAGTCAAGTCTTCTCCCACCACAGTGGAGACTCCTGAGGAGCAATTGTATTTGTGGGTGGGATACTTAGTGAGGAGTCAGTTGGTGGAGGCAATGGAGCAGTGTGAGCCAGCCTGGGCAAAACCTGCCCATCCATCTGGGGCACTGAGGCCTCAACAAGTCTGCTGGCTGTAAAAACAGAAAGGGGAAACAGGGTCCAGGCAGGCCTGGAGAGAAAAGACACACACAGTCCCAAGCCTGGCCCAGAGCCTCAGGCCACCCCTACCCTGACTGGCTATGAGGCAAAGAGAGGCATATGTTAGGTCACCCACTCTGGGTGGGAGTCCCCTTTATTTGGGTTCGCTGCTGGGTGGCTAGAGACTGCAGGTGGCCCTCGATGTGAACCAGGAGGGCATCCAGCACGTGCAGGACACCGAGGAGTAGGGTGCGGTCTGAGATCGGGGTCCGCTGTTTCCAGAGTCCAGGGGGGTCAGTGGTCACCTGTGGATGCTGAGGATAGGACCAAGAGGCAGGTGTGAGAGCAGAGGGATGGGACGGAGGTGTGGTAAGGGGCAGTAATGGAGCCAGGGGGATGGGGGATGGGGGACTTAGGGTGATAGAGGATCCCTGAGGGTCTGTTGTGGGCCAGGGTGGTCATGAGGACCAGGTAAGCTGGGTGAGGAATAGGGATATTAAAGAGGGACAGATGGGAGCAGGGTACTGGCCGTGGGGAATGGCTAGGGGCTGACAGGTGTGGACAGATGAATGGACCATGGGGTGTGAGCAGTGAGGAAAGGGGCAGCAGGAGGCCCACAAGGCATGGGTAGGCTGATTGGGGAAGGTTGGGTGGAGGATAGGAGCTCATTGGGTCTGAGTGGAGGTAGGACACTGGGGGGGACAGAGCGGTGCTGTGCTCACCTCAAACTTAGTGGCCCGTAAACGCCATCGCCGCTGCACCACATGGGCAATCATCAGCATCATGGTAGTGGTGGCTGTGACCCCAGCCACAGGGTAGACGTAGTTCTCCCCCAGGCCCATCAAATGGCCAGGACAGCCCAGGCTTTCTCTGCAACTCTCCATGCTGTCTGGTTGGCATCCCCAGGGCTGTAAGTCCAGCCCCACCTGGTACCACAGGGGCCGTGACCAGGTGTGGGTTGGGGCAGGCATGGCCAGCAGGAGTAGCACTAGCAGGAAGGACCGTGCGAGCAGCATGGCTGTGGCAAGTGCCAGCGGAACCTGGGCACCTGGCAACAGACAAACGCCCCTCCCCCACAGGCAGGCCAGACTAGAGGCAGGAGGTTCCAGCTGGCCCCATGGCCTTTCATGGGGGAAGCCTGAGCAGAAAACATGGGGCATGGGGTTCCAGGGCTGAGGAGGATGGCAGGCTTGGGGCCCAGGACTAAAGGAGTGCCTCCTTTACCCCCTCCCTCCTCCTCACCTAACATCCACTCCCTACAATTCTAACATCCCACAGCCTCTAACACTGCTCTCCAGCTCAGAGCTGCTCGCTGGTCCCCTACGCCCAGCCTACCCGACAGTCCACATCACCGCAGTGAGTGCTCAAAAACGGGGGGCCCCTCACGCTCCGAATAAAGTCCAAAGGCTCAGCATGCTTTGGTCTCCCCTCCTGCCTCATGCAGGCCTCGCTAGTGTTGCTGCACACACCTGCTGTTCCCCACACCAGGAGCGCTGTCCTCCACTCATAGAGACACTTCTCATGGCTGGAGCTTCAGTAGAAGTATCACCTGCTCCCTGAGCCTCCCTCCCAGGACCATCTGGGGCGACACAGTCCTTTCTCTCCCATGTGACTCTGTTTTATTTTCTTCGAAGCATTTCTAAGTATCTGCAATCTCTTGTTCGAGGTCGGCCTTCCATTCCAGCACATACGCTTCACTCAACCAATATTTACCAAGCACCGCCACGTGCCAGGCACCTCCTGGTGCCAGGACACGGCATGACAGAATAGACAAAGAGCCATGACTTCCTGGGCTGAGGTTCTGGGGGTAGAGGGTGGACAAAGATTTGTAAACACAGTGCAGGGCCACAATAAAGACAGCTGAGCAAGGGGTGCCTCAGTGACTTGGAGGGTAGGGCAGCCTCTGTCCACTCACCCAGCAGAGCCTAGCACCTGGTCAGCTGGTAGACGGCAAAGCTCACCCGTTTTGAGCAAGTGACACGGGCCCAGCACTGATGCAAGCATTTCATGGCATTTACTCATGGCACGGAACAACCCACGAGGTGGATCCTATTACCATTCATGCTCTGCTGATGAGACCTTGAGGCCCAGGAAGATTCTAGTGCCCCCACCCTCACCCCAAGCACTCAGAGTATCAGCTGGCTCGAAGGCCCACTGCTGCCCACTGGGCCACAGGCCCAGATGTTGGCATTTTATGGTAGAAATCAACACATGCTTCTTGGCCCACAGTGACCTACAAAGCCCAGTGATCTAATTATACGAACAGGCATTTTCCCAAGTAAATCAATCATGCACACTCTTATTTCTAAATGCAGACCAGCAGCACCTGTGAACACCTGCCCCTCCTCAACTGGTTACTCGGGTGTTCACATTACACCCTCCAGGGCTACCTGGTGGCACCCAGTGCCTTGCTTGTTATCAAGTGCCCCTGAGAACAGATGATTCCTGAGAAGCAGCTCTGATTCCAACTGTTTTACAGCTGAGGACACAGGTGCCGAGGACTATGTGTGGCCGGGGAGAAACTTCAACCCGTATGCCCCAATTCTGGGCCTGGCCCCACAGCTCGCCCTCCTGTTCTATACTGTCCCTCCTGACCCTGCCCTCCCCAAACCTCCCCTACAACTTCTGATTCCAGTCCCCAGTGTGGGCCATAAGAAGAGTCAGGAGCCAGGACTGTGGACCCACCTCCTACCCCCACCAAGCCTCCACCAAGCCACAGCAGAGCCTGGTGTTGGGCAAACAAATCTTTATTCCTGAGGCTGCAAACACGCATGCTCCCCTGCCCTGGCCAGTGCTGGCCGACTCCAGTGCCCCATCACACTGAACGCGGAGTCCCAGGACCTCCATCCCTGAGTTATGTATGTGTATACGGAGGGTACTCCTGGGTGACAGCTGGAGGCAGCCTAGGGGTCAGGGGGTTCTCATGGGTGCCACGTCACAATCTCCAGAGGTAGGCAGTCTCAGGTAGGGTGGCAGCACGGTCAGAGTTGGGTAACCTGAGCAGGCCAAGGAGGAGAAGCGCCAGTCAGTTTGCAAAGGACGCATACCACCCCCTCCCCTAGGAGAGCAACCTCTGCCCCCAGGAGCAGCTTTATCTAAAGGCAGGAGGGGAAGGCAGTGGGTCCACTGGAGGCAGAGCCATCTAGGAAGTGTGGACTTCCTGGAGTTGGGGTCAGGGGTGGGGACAAGCAGTAGATAAAGAGTTTAGCGGTCCAGAGGTCAGCTCACCGAAACAGGGCTGACGGGACCAGACCTTGGGTGTTGGAGGGCAAAGACGACAGCATCGTGGACAGAGGCAAAGAGATGCTGCTTAGTGATAGACGCATCGAAGAAGTGCCCAGCCTCAAGCTGTGTGACCACAGGGGCTGTAGGCAAGAAGCAGGTCTCCCCTGACTCACAGAACCACCAAGAACCCCAACCCCCAATCACCAGCAGAATGCCCTGACCCATGTCACCTGTGACCTCCACCCCTGAGGTTACAGCTAAACCCCTAGTCACCCTTGACCCTTCACCTTGCCTCCCAGGATACCTCTGACTTCCAGTTTCAGAGACTTTTACCTTGTGCTGCCTGGCAGACTCCTTGACGGGAAGAGCCCCACCCCCTTCCCGGACCATTCCTGCCATCCCCACCCCACGCACTGTGGCAGGCGGCCATGTACACCTCCACCTCGATCTCCCGGAAGTCACGGAAAATCTGCAGCAGAAAAAGGGGGCCAGATTCAGAGGGAGGCTCAGGCTCCAAGGGAGGATTCAGGAAGGCTGCAGGGAGGGAGTTTAGAGGGGGAGCTCAGAGAGTCTGGGGGTTGGAAGGCTCAGAGGGCTCTTGGAGCTAGTTATGGGGGCAGAGTGCAGGCTTGAGGGGCCTCGTCCTCCCCCAGGGCTCTTCCTAGGTATACCCCAGCCTCTTACATTCTTCAGGCTCTTGAGGCACACAGTGTCCACGAAGGAGAGGGCACCCAGGTCCAGGACAAGGCTGTGGAAATCCGGCTGAGGCAGGCCCAGGGCCTTCAGTGTGGACCCATCTGGGGCCTTGGCATCTTCTTGACCGCTGGCTGCTGTATCCTCTAGTTCCTTCCCTGCGCTCACCTGCTATGGAGCCAGACACACTGCAAGGGCCGCCCACAAGAAGATGAAGGCAGGGAACACGCACAGACAGGCAGGGTCACATAAGGTCAGGTGTGGGAGCATGCATGTAAACACCCAGATATATGGGGCTTGCAAGGGACACATGAGGACTTGGACATGGGGATTTCCTCTAGGCAAAGACAGGAGGAACTCATGGGGACACACAGGAGAGGACGCCTAGACTCAAGTAGCACACACAGACCAAGCATATACTGCTCTATTACCTCCTGGGCCCAGGCTTAATAGGGACACTTAAGAAGGGAGGCCACTGGGAGACTGTACCTCATCCTCAGTCAGCCAGGATGGAGTGGATAGGGGGCCCAAGGATGGACCAGAAGAGACACATGCACACATGTGTACACTCAGACACCTCGGCCCCCTGCCTAGGTCTCTAACTGAGTGTGGCGTTCCCTTTTTGGACCCCACATTTTTTCCCCACGCCCTCAATCCCTTCCCTCTATCCATGAGCACAGACGGTAGGGTCTTGCAGACTCTGTAAATTCAAGGTCTTCATGTGGGCCTCAGATTACAGACAAGAGAGCCACAAGCAGAATTCCATGGCATACTCTAGAGATCTCCCCACAGAGTATCTTATCCATCACCCATTCCTCCTGCTATTGGCACAACCACCTTGAATGCACAACTCGAAGGTCCACAGCTTTCCTCATGGGACATGTGTGAGCACCCCCATCTCTGCAGCTCATGGCTGACCCCTCTCCCACCTCCAGCCTCACCTTGGCCTTGGAGCCCTCCATGTTGTTGCTCTCGATGTCTCTGATGCTGGTGTTGGCATTGATGGAAACGGAAGTGCCCTTGGAGGCAGCAGCCTAGGCCAGGGAAGAGAGGAGACAGGGATCGTGATGGGTTCACACCGTCGCTGCCTTGGTGGGATGGGAGAAAAATAAAATTCCACCCAGAGCCCTGACCAGCCAGGGGAGTAAAGCAGGGTCCTAGGGGGCATCAGGGAGAAAGGAGGAGGAATGAAGAATGCGGGTGAGAAGTCAGGAGCCCAGGAGGTTGGGAGAAAGGCTGCGTCGGGTGAGCAGCAGGACAGACGCAGGAGTCACCGGCTCAAGGGGCCCTGCCTGTCTCTGGAGCTTCTCCTCCTTCAGCAGTCGCTTCAGCTTTAGCTCCTTCTTCTTGAGCAGCTTCTTCTTCCGGGAGATGAGGCGGTCGACGTCTATACCACACTAGAGGCGAATATCAGGGAAGGGGATGTGGACACTCTGTGGAAGTGAGGGACCCTCTGACACTCACCCTGGGGACCCCAAGCCTCACCTTCTGCTTCAATGTGTCACTGTAGAGTTCAGCGTTGGCAAAGTACACAGTGGCTGAGGAGCGGAAGACCTTCACGCCTGGGACCTCCCTGGCCTGGGGGTGGGTCAGGGTTGGGGTGGCTGAGCCCTCCTCTCTCCTGGCTGCCTTTCCTCCCCCATGTGCCCCAGCACCCACTGCCCCCCACCCCTCTGCTCCCCAGCCAGCATGGGCCCAGCCTGTGGCCCGTGCCCTCCCAGAAGCTTGGGCCACAGGCCTGGTGGTGTCATCCTGAGTCCTCATCCTGCTCCTTCCCTCTGCCCAGGCCCTTGGCCAGGACTGTCAGGGCTTCCTCCAGGGCATCCTGCACCTCTCCCTCCCCATCTCCCCTGCCCTTCTGCCAATATCCAGGCCAGGGTTCAGTGGCTCTCAGGCCTCCTCTTGGGTCTCCTATTCCTGCCCTGTGGTCTATTTTCTGCATGCAGATAGAGAGACCCTCCTTAGCTGCCATCCCAACCAAGCCTTCCCCAGCTCCCACCCCATTCAGAGCACTGCCCAGGTCTCTGCTCAGCATTTGGGCCTGCACGATGTGTTCCCTCCTCCCTTTCCAACCAGCTGAGCTGCTCCCCCTCATGTCCTCCCCTTACTCTGCCTAATCATACTGTGCTCAGCCTTCAAGTTTCCATGTCAGGGGGAATGGGCTTGTTTTATTCCAGAGCCCCACCTATTTTTACCAGCACTTGGCATGAGACTTCTCAGGAGGTAAATGACAGAGATCCAGTAATTCCACTGATAAATCTGGAAACAGCCTCCCCTACAGGAATCCCTCTGGGATTCCTGACCCAGGGCTTGTCTGCAGGATGGGACTTGTACTGCTGGCTCCAAGACAGACCTGTCCCCAGGCCCCCAGGCCTATCTCTGTCCACTCTTTCTCGGGCCCCTCCTAGTCCCTTATACTCTAACTGGGGGTCATAGATCCAAATTCTTCCCTTGAAATTACAAGGACCAAAGTGCCCTCAGCCCCCAGTGTCCTTGCCAGGTGTGGAAGGGACTGATAAAAGTCCATTCTGGCTCTGTTCCACCCCACCCAGGCCTTCCTCCTGCTTAGCACCCCCACACACCTCTGAGTACTCTGCCACATCTCTGTAAATGTCCGTGTCTGGCACCTGCCCCAGGATAGAATAGTGAGGCCTGTGAAGAACAGTGAGTGTGAGGAGAGAGGGCAGAGAAAAGGACAATGAGGGGGTACTAAGGAGCCTGGGGCTGTCCTTGAGACATGGGAAACCTGAGGGAGCCAGTGTGGAATGTCACTCCCTCACCAGCTGGAATTGGGGGGACCAAAAGGGTTGACTCACAGCTGCGTGCGGAACACCACAAGCAGCAGGGAGAAGGCCACCGCAGCTGCTAGGCCAAGGTCCAGGTTCAGCAGGATGGTGGCCACAAAGGTCACCAGCCAGATGAGCTAAAAACAGAAGGGCAGTGGTCAGCAGGGTCTAGAGGGGCTGTTGGAGCTGAAGGCCCCAATCCCACCCCTGGGATCCCAGGCCTCTCACCAGATCCATTCGATTTGCCTTCCAGAGGGAGCATATGTCTGTGAACTGCATCAACATGCCCTTCAAGTTCACGATAATGGCGGCTGCCAGGACTGCCTGCCATGGGGACAGTGTCACCAGGGGCTGCTGAGAGCTGCCCAGATACTGACAACCCCAGCCACCTGGGCATGAACAAGACTGACCCCAAGCACCTGGGCATAACCCTAAATGACGCTAACCACCACCCAGCCCGTGAACCTAACAACTTGGATCTGACGCTGAAAGGTCCTAACCCCTGACTCTCAACTCCAAATCTCACCCCAAAGGTCTCAACCTTGAAAAATGGCATGACCTTGTATCCCTGCCCCTCACCTGGGATGTGACTGACTGATCTGAGCCCCTGGCCTGGCCAAGGCCCTCAAACCCAGCTGGGTAGGGGTGGAGGTGGGGGCTCACCTTAGGCAGGTCTTGGAAGAGTTCCCCAAGTTTGACAATGATAATGAGGATGAAGAGGGAGGAGACAGCTCCAGCAACCTGCCGGGTGGGAGTGAGCAGGAGGCAGGAGTGAGCAGGAGGGTAGCAGAGTAGGAGTAGGGGAAGAGAGTGGGGGAGCAGGGGAAGGGAGTGGGGGGCTGGGGCCAGAGTAGGGGTTGGGGGTAAAGTGGAGGGAGAGTGGGAGTGGAGAGTAGGGGTGGGGGTGGAGAGTAGGGGTTGGGGGAGAGTAGAGGTGGGGGAAGAGAGGAGAGGAGGGGGAGGGGAGAGTAAGGGTTGGGAGGAAAGTAGGGGAGAGTAGGGGGAGTGTGGGGAGAGTAGAGGCGAAGAGTAGGGTTGGGGCAAGAGAGTAGGGGGTGGGGGGAGAGCAGGGGGGTGGGGGGAGAGTAGGGAGGGAGCAGGGGGAGAGCAAGGGGAGGAGGGTGGGACAACCCAGGCAAAGCAGCACATGCACACACAGAAGCACACCCGCGCCCACACCTGAGCCCACCTGTGTGTTGCCCCCTGTGCTCTCTTGTACCAGGCTCCGAGACATAGAGCAACTCACAGGGAAGCACTGGAAGACGCCCCCAATAAGGTTACTGAGGCCAAGGGCCACCAGCTCCTGGTGGAGGGGAGAGCAGGTGTGAGGAGACTTCAGTGGCAGAGCCTGGTCACTCGCCAAGCAACTGTGTCTAGGCCTAGGCATCCCCAACCTTCACCCCCACTGCATAGCCCTCAAGGACTTGGCTGTTGTCCTGTGTCCTGCTCCCCCATCCTCAGTCCCCCACATGGCCCACCACATCTGTTTGCTGTTTCCTTGTGTCCCACCTGAGACTCCATCCCCCTCAGACCTCCTCCACTGCCTGCTAACTGTCCCGCATCCCGTCCTCCAGACCTGGTTGCTGTCCACCCTGTAGCCATGCCTCAGTGCGAAGATCTTCCCCAGCGAGATGGCAATGGCGAACCCAACCACAGCGATGGCGAAGGCATTTCCCACAAGTTTTGCGAACAGCTGGGAGTTGGGGGCCACTGGGGGTAGCAGCCTGTGAGGGGCATCTGTGAGGCCAAAGGAAGGTGCTGACCCTGGCCACCCAAGCTCCCTGACCTGACAGGGGCCAGAGCTCACCCTGCAGGGATGTCACCCACGACATCCACCCCAAATCTGTGCTTCAGGCCCACGCCGTAGGAGATGCCTGTGGCCCCGATGAGCTGGGAGGAGAGGACAGAGTCAGAGGAGGGAGGTGCTGGCACCACTGTCAAGGGGGATGGAGAAACCACTTTGGGGGTGAAGGGGGAGACTTGAAGCAAAACCTTCAGAGGGACAAGCTAGCAACAGGATGAGACAGACGCCACCATTTTGGGAAAAGAGAGATGCTGTCTCTCAGGGGCAGGAAGATATTAACTCGGGAGCTTTCCGCTGTGGTCCGCCCAGTCCCCAGGAACTCTCACCAGTGCTCATGCCAGCTAGTCTTTAAATGCCTGGGGGATGCCCGTATGGCAGGAATATATCCCCACTTGCCCTTCTCCCCTGTCCCCTGCCCCCCCCAGAATCCGAACCGTGAGCAGTTCCCCGGGGATCGGCAGGGGCAGATGTTGTTGCAGCTTGTCATTCAGTAGCTTCACCACCACAAGCACTACCCCTGCCACAAGTGCGGTGACCATGGTGCCAACCACGCTCTGGGGCAGCTTCCAGCAGACTTCTAGCAGTGTCTGAGGGGAGACAGGGTCACAGCCAGCACTCAAGCTCATGGGCACACCCACCTGTCCCTCATCCCACCTTCACTCACATAGATGATGGACAGTGGCCCAGAGCGGCTGCTCAATTGGAGGCCAAACACATACTTGAGCTGCGAGATGAAAACCTGCACAGATGCAGCTGTGGTATAGCCATGGACCAGAGGTTCTGACAGGTAGGTGACCACGAAGCCGAAGTGGACCAGGCCAAGCCCCACCTGTGGGGTGGCCAGGGGCAATCAGGGGAGGTGGGGGTCCTAGGGGTGGCTGGGGCATAGCCCAGGGCAGGTAAGATCAGAGAGGGATGAGTCAACAGCCAGAGTGATGAGGAGGAGGATGGTGATGGTCAGACACTCAGAGGAACTGGCAGACGGGGGTTGGGGGGATGGGTTCAGCAGTGGGGCAGGTAGTAGGGGGACAGTACTCCTGACTGCTCTGTACCTGGAAAAGGCCAACTAGGACACTGAGTGCGGAGGCCAGCTGCACCCGGGCAGCATCTCTGGCCGTCTCATTGACTGTGGAGTTCAAGTCCTGAAGGAAGTCCTCATCTGGGGCCAGGGATTCTGTCACACTGCCCACCATCACAGACATGACAGCAAAAGTGCCTATAGGGACAGGTCAGGGCAGGTCTGAACGGGAGAGGACACTGTCCTGCCCTGGAGCCCTGGTCTTAAGGGAGAAGACAGACATCCAGTTCTAGACAAATATCCTCAGACTATGCTGTGCAAATAGTGGCAGTGCTGACAGTCACGTATGAACCCTGAGCTCAAGGGCTCTTGAGGGTGACTAGAAATGTGGGCCCCGCACATCTACCCTGCCCACCTATGCCCACTGGCTCAGAACCGCTCCCCTTGTGAAAGGTGGAATGAGGAGGGGGCACAGCCCGCCAAAGGTTATCAGGCCTGTGCCAAGTTCTGAGCCCCCAACATCCGCCCGGAGCCAGGGCCTCTAGGTCACCTGACTGCGTGGTCCCATGGTCAGAGGCCTACTCCTGCATGGGAATGACCCTTGGGCCAGTCTTCCAGCAGCCCAGCACCAATGCTGCTCTCTTCCCTAAGTTCCCTTGTTCTGCTCAGCCCGCCCTCAATCTGTCCTCCATGAGGGAGGTGGGCATCCTCCAGCAAGGCTGGGCCTGGCTCCACTCACCCACAGAGATGTGCCGGGAAGTGCCAAACAGGAAGTAGATAAAGACAGGGTAGAAGGAGCTGTAGAGGCCAAACACTGGGGGCAGTCCAGCCAGGAGGGCATAGGCTAGGCCTGGAGGTAGAATGGTGGCAATGTAGGCTAAGGGGCCAGGGCCTTGAAAGGATGAGGGAATCCCAGCCCTAGGTCATAGGCCACAGTTGCAGAGGCAGGGGTCATGACTTCAGGTTTGGGGGCAGCCACAGATCACAGGGCTTCTAGGCTAGGGCCTTAAAGGGTCGAGGTCACCAGGCAATGGTTGAGGGTACAGCCTCCAGATGACAGGTGGCTTACCCTGTGGTAGCTGCATAATGGCCACACTTAGGCCAGACAACAGGTCACCCAGGAGCCAGTCACGCACAGGATACCGGGGTAGCCAAGCCAAAACAGGGAGGTATTGGAGCAGAAGTGCTCGGGCCCGAGCATGGGAGCACCTGAGGACACAAGGGTAGGTATCAGGGATAGAGGCTACCTAGGTCCTGCCAGTGCCCCTAGGCCCCAACCCTCAGCCTTACTGCAACCAGGTTCGCCACTGGTGGGTCCCAGTCACTGAGCTCCAGCGCCCCAGCTCCTCCAGCTGTTTCTGGTTCAGCAGTGGCCGCTCCACGTGGTAGTCTCGCCTCCTCAGCTCCATTTCTTGTGTTGTGGACAGCAGTGCTTGTGTATCCCTCTGTCTGGGGTGGCAAGACCAGAGACACCGTCAGGGCACCCCTGGCCCAACCTCCCCCACACATCCACCTGAGACTAGAGAGTCACCACCTGACTGATATCTAGTCCCCGAGATCTAGGTAGGTCCAGCCCCCAGCTGGCTCCATGCCCACACCCAGGGCAGTGCCTGAACTTTGGCTAGTGGAAACCGCTTGCTGGGACAAAGTCCCCCACGAAGAGGCAGCAGGATGAGCACAGTCCACACTACCCAGCCCTGAGGGTTCTACCAATCCAGGTCCCAGGCTGACTGCCCCTCCCAGCCCCTTGCTCTCCCCCAGCCAATCCCCGTCCAGTCTCTGAGTCCTTATCCAGCTGCCCCATGAGCCCACTGCTGGCTGGCTGAGAGCACACGCAAGGAAGGGATCCAGCAAACTAGGGGTCCAGTTCTTCAGGCAAGGCCCTCTTCAGATGAGACCCTCCCCTCTAAGAAGGAGAGAGGTGGGGCTAATATTGCCCCTGGGCCTCCAGCCCCAGGGTCCAAGTTGTAGACAATCTCAGGCCTAATCTGGGAAAGCCAGGGGATGGCTCTCACCTGGAGAGAAAGGGGACTCACCTGGAAGGAGAGGCTTCCACCTGGAAAGGGAAGCTCCCACCTGAAATGGGGGAAGATCTCAGCTGGGAATAGATCTCAGCTAGGGGGAAGCTCTCACCTGATTCAAAATTTTTCACCAGCCAGGTAAGTTCTGTCCTGGGGAGAATCTCTGATCTGCCCAGAGGCTCCCACCTGAAGAGGGGGAAAGCTCTCGCTAGGGAATAGGAGACCTGGGAGGAAGCTGTCCTGGAAATAGATCTCACCTGGGAATGGGAGCTCTTAGAGAGGGAGCTCTTACCTGGGGGCAAGCTTTCACCCACCAGGAAAGTTCTGATCTGGAGGGTACTCTCACCTACGGGAAGCTCTGACCTGGGGAGGCTCTCACCTGGGAATAGATCTCAGAGGGAGGATCTTACCTGAAGGGAAGCTCTCCCCTGCCGGGAAAGCTTTCGCCTGTCAGGAAAGTTCTGATCTGTGAGAAGCTCTGACCTAGGGGAAGGATCCCACCCGAGGGCCAGGGCCGAGGGCCGGGAACTCACCAGCGAAGGGCCTGGGTGTCCCGGTTGGAGGAGGGAGTGGAATGGGTGCAAAGAAGAACCTTAAAGACTTTGACGTGTCCCACAGAGATCTTTGAGCCCCCTCGCCCCTCCTCCGTGAGTCACTCAGGTGTTCTTAAAGGGCTCCCTCCACCGCCCCCCCAACCCCCCACCAGCAGGACGCGTGCTTGGAGGGCGGGGCTTGGGTCCTTGGCCCCTCCCGCTGGGAGGGCACAGCTGCCAGAAGGGCCGAAGCGCTCATTCCCGTAGGAGTGGTACAGCGGCCGGCCTCAGGCCCCGGCTATGGACTATCTTGCAGCGACCTCCCGGCCCCAACGCGCCCCACCGGCGCACCTCCTGGGCCGCGGCTCCTCCGCACGGAGCCGCCTCCCTACGGCCCCCGGCTAGCTTTCCAGCGAGGCTCGACCGGCCTTTGGCACAGCCGGCTCCCGCCCCCATCCCTCGCTGCAGTTGGGCAGCCGCCCGCAGAAAAGCGGCAAAGCGGTAAACCGAGGCGTTGTAGGCAGCGTACGCCGGCTCCAGACTTGGCGGTACCCCTTCCGAGCCAACCCAAGCCGGGCGCCTGCGCGGGGCCCAGGAGGCTGCCGGCGCCTCGCGGACACGCACGTGGACGCGGACACGGGAAACCCAGGCCGCGCCCCGCACTCACCCCGAAGCTTCCGACGGCTCCATGGCTTGAGGGCTGCCAGGTGGCGGCTGCTACCACAGCTCCAGCAAGAGGCTGCTACGGGCCGAAAGGCCGAGCTGGGAAAGGGGCAAGGCCTCCGGCGCGCTCCCACAGGCCAATCCCCGGCAGGACGGGGAGGGCTTGGGCCAATCAGCGTGCTTGGTTGGGGCCTAAGAGGCGCTCTATGGGCGGGGAGAGCCTGGAGGAGGAAGATTTAACCCCTTCCTCCCCTGCGGCCTGCCTCCTGCTCCCCCTCGTGGCTCGCCTAGCCCTCCTCCCTGAGCCGGGTGGAACTGCAGAACTGGGACTAAAGACCCGCGCTGGGCTGGCCATAGCCGCGGCCCCAGGGCCCTGAGTGGGACAGGGCTGATAGCGTGTCCTGGCTTCTTGTGGAGGGTCCCCGCGGGATGGAGAGGGGAAAATCCCAAGCGGGCAGGATGCTTGGGGGCGCCGCTAGCGACCAGAGCCTTGGTATCCATGGCCTCTCATGCCTCCCACTGAGGGCGCCACCCTAAGCCTTTTTCCCTGAGACCAGGCATGTCTCTGAGACCAAAGGTGCCCCAGCTTCCCTTCAACTCTGAACACCCAGATCTGAAGTAAGGCTGGGAGTTTCCTCTCCCCTGCGTATAGCACAGCCCGGACATCATGCCTGAAGTTTTCCGCCTGAGCCACAGAGGAATACAGCGTCCCTACCAGCTCCAAGTCCTAGAGGTCGCAGGGGTCAGTGCTGTCAATGAGCTGAGGAGTTTAGCAAGGGCAGTTCCTAGAGATGGTTTGACCCCTGGTGGCAGCAAACGCCAGGTTGGGCTGCAGGCCCTGAAGACTTAGGAAATCATCATGCTGCTGCCTTGACAGGGAGGGGGGTTTCCCTTGAGACCTGACTCTCAGCACCTCTGCTCATACTTCAGGCCTCAATCACAAGGTGACTGGCCAGAATTCAAGATGAAAGAGATGGGAACCTGGTCCAAATCTCCAATGAAATGGGCTAAAAATAGCTGAATATTCTTGTGGGGGCAGTGCTCAGATTTCCCCCAAAGGTCAGCCTGGCCTGAATCATTCATAGCCACCCTCCTACTCCACCCTTCTACCCGCAAACAGAAAGAGGCAATAACCATTTTCTATAGAAGTTTATTCCCAAAACAGCGCGGCTTCACGGAACAATTTACACAGACAGGAAAAGGGGCCACTGGGCTGGAGGTGGGGACGCCCAGAGAGGGGCATCTACAGAACCTAGGACATAGCAAGGACAACCCTTTCTCCCCGCAGTGGGCCCCTCAACCCTTCAAGGGTGGGGGTCATTCCGGGTAAGGAGAGCTGGGATCCTGGCTGGCGGGATTTGGCAGCAGTCAGTAAAGTAGAACTTTCAATCTCCTTGGAAACTGCCTCCCAAGAGTATGTGGGGGGGAGGGGTGTGTCTGTACAGATCCCCCCCACAACCCTGCACAGCCACTGTTCCCAGTGGTAAGAGCTTGCCTACTCTCAAGGCCTTCTGGCTCTGCTGTTCAAGAGGGGACTCGGGGCTGACCTTTGACCTGGGATAACAAGGGGTTAGAAACCCCTCAAGATGGCCAGGCCCAGGGTCCTCACAGGTGGGTCCTCCAAGCCCCTCTCCCACTTTCTCTACTTTTTGCTTGTAAACAAAGAAAAAAAAACATTCTCAACTGTAAACAAAGTGTAAAAGTTCAAAGTTTTAAGTTGTAAACAAAGTTTAAAAATGTTTTAAATCTTGATCTGTAAACAAAGTAACAAAATTTACAAGTCCCCAGTTCTGGACATAAGACAAAGTAATAAAAGTGAGAGTTTTGTGAACAAGGTCCTAACAGTCATCTTTCCCTGTAGAAAGGAATAAAGGAGGGTGGTACTGAGTCACTTCCTGCAGCCCAGGTGCCAAGGGCCAGGGAGTTCCTGTAAACATGGGAGGCAGTGGCACCTACATTCTGAGTCTTCAGTTCCTGTTTCTGCTCCCTTTGCTCCTCCTCCCACTCCACCCTTCAGAATAAATTCTAAAGGGGGCAGCAACAGGAAATCAAATGGCACCACAGACAACTTTTGCTCACAGCCGGGGCAGGGGCTGGCAAATGACCCCTCGGTCTACCCTCCGCAGGAATGTCTGAATAGAGGCCTGAAACCCTCCCCATGGGAGAAAGGGAAGCCTTGCTCTGTAAACATGACATCTGCTGCTCCACCAGCGCCCCACAGCATCAATCCTAGGTCATAAGGCAGTAAGTGGCAGGGACTCCACATAATAAACACACACATCCACGAGGAGGTCGGCATGAGCAAGGCCCTGTGAAGGGGTCAGAGGACCCCTGTTTCCAAGACCAACCCCCAGTCCCAGAAGTTTGGCCCTTGGGGCATCCAAGAAAAAGCAAAGATCAATTCTGCACTTTGGGCCCTGACAATATTCAGATCAACCTGGTTGGGGAGCATTTGCCCCTCCTGTCTGAATCCACTCCAGTAAGATGAGAAGAAAGAGTATATGGTTTGCCAGGGACCCAAATGGGGTCAAACTCTGCACCTCTTTCCCCCTACACCCCCCCCCCCCCAGCCCAGCCGCAGAACCCTGGGACACAGAAAAGCTGAAAAATAACATAAGCATATCTCTCTGGTTACAAAGGTACAAAACGTATAAAAGTCCTCCCTTCAGTTCCCTTGCTCTGTGCATGTGTCACACACATGCTCACAGGTAAGTGTGGAGCCTCAGCACTGCAGCAACAGGGAGAGCTGGGGGCAAGGGCTGGGTAGGAGGCTGCCTCAGGATCAGCTCCTGACTCCTGGCGTCTCTTCCATTGGCCCAAGGCCTCCATCGCCCTCGCTGTTCCTCCTCGGCCCCTCAGGAGCGACCCTCACTTCTGGGAACTCTGCAGAGTTGAATGTGGAGATGAAAGGTGGTTGCTGAGAGGACTCTGAGTCAGGTGGCTCTGGACTCCCCCGTGGGATGGGACCTGGCCTGGCCCACCTCCCCACCGCTCCCCTCCCTGCCCCCATCCCCTTTGCCTCAGTCTCCAGCCCCCTTATGCCTATTCTGGGATTCTCAGAGCCCTTCACCCATTCTGGACCCCCAGATTCATCAGCAAGGCCCCTTGGCCAGCCACCTATGTCTTTTCTCTAAGCACTTAGCAAGCACCTACTATAGACACTATGTTAAAGCACTTGACAAATTTTGTCTCAAAAGCTGCACATCTCAAAAAATTTGTTACTACAGACACATTTTGCAGACAAAGAAACTGAGGCTCAGAGAGGTCAAGTGTATCTCCAGAGCCTAAACCCCTTTTCTGTCCCCCAGCCCTCTCAACAACCAGACCCCAAGGCCAGGCTGCAGGAGGACCCAGGTGATGCACACAGCTCCCTCTCTTCTCCACCCCCAGCATCCTTCCAGAGTCCTGGGCACCAGGCCCCAAAATCTCTGGTCCTATCTCCTCTCCTGACTCTGCTCAGGTTCTGTTGATCTCCTGCCCCACTCCTGGAGTCCTCTTCCCCCTAAAGCCTTTTCTCACCCTACAGACCTCCACAGAGCCTGACCTAGCTGTTCCTCCCTCTTAAAACTCAACTCTCCTTCTGGCTTCCAAAGCCTGGCAGCTCCTGGTTCCTCCTCACTCTCTCTGACACCTGTGTACCCAGCTGCCATCCCCTACCCTGCAGATGCCCCAGAGGCACCTGAGATGTCCCAGGTCCCAACTCCATTCTTGTATGCCCCACCCCACAGTGCCCGCAGGCAGGAGGAACTTAATATTGACTGAATAAATCAACAAATGAATGATTTACCCTCAAAGTTAACTCTTCAGCCCAGCATATAAAGTGCCCATATCTTGGCACTGTTTCTGGCCCCTCATTATCCCATACTACTCCCTAAGCAAAGCCCCCAAGTAAAGACTCCTCCTTTCTCCCCTGTCCCTTCTACGTATCAGGTTACCTCCCACTTCTAGGCCTTGGCTCCTGTCCTGCCCCCCTCCACTAACTCAAACCCTTTGGAAGGCATCTATCTCTCCTCCTTAGCCCCAGAGGTGCAAGGGAGGGTGGCTGGCCTCAATCCTATAGCTCCCAAGTCCCTGTTAATCATGTCCCCATTCCGTGCTGGATTTCTGCCCTCAGCCTGTGGCCCCTTGGCTGTGCTGAGCCTGGGGTAACCCACACTGTCTGCCAACCCCCAGCCCATTCTGTGGCAGAACACAGGAGGTTGCCCTAAGCTGACGAGGGTGTGAGTTGGTGGGTGGACTCTGCTTACTCTGAGTCCGGCGACAGCTCCGAGATGCTGTGGGATGTGGCAGAGCGTGGCGTGGAGGGCCCAAGTGCCGAGGCAGTGGCAGAAGGCGTGGCAGTGGTGTGAGGGCCCGAGGGTGTGCTTGAGGACTGCACAGAGGAGGAGAGAGCCGAGGAGTTGAAAGAGGCGAGGATAGAGGAGAGAATGTCCAACTGCTCTGTGGAGGGGCCGTGGCTAGGGCCACTGGCTGGGTCCTCCCTAACTCTGAGCAGCTGCGGGGGTGGCCCAAGGCCTTCTCGTGAGGGGTGCCGGCTAGGCCCGTGGTCTAGCCGCTCCCCTGAGTTCGATCTCCTGGATAGAGAGTCCAGGGGCCGGGATGGCAAGAGGGGGTCCCTTGAGAGTTGCCGCTGGGGAGACAGGGGCAGAGGTGGGGGCTGTGGGTCAAGGTCCTGGGCACTGTGGGGCAGGGGCAATGTGCTCAACCACTCGCAGGGTGCCCCTAAGTCCAGTGCATCCCGTGATCTGAAGCGGCCAGCCATGGAGCTAGGGTAGTCCCTAGGTGGCTGCCTCCGTGGCAGGGTGCTGCCCCGATCTCTGGGCTCCAGGCGGCCTGGCACAGCATCCAGGCATTCCTGGGAACCTGGCCGACTCAGGGGACGCAGAGTGGGGGCAGGGGCTTCCTCCAGTCGCTCACGGCTCATCTGCCGCCGGAGGAGCAGGTCCAGCTGTTCTCGAGAGGAGTAGCGGCTTGCTGGTTGTGAAAGGCTACCTGTGCCCCCTCCGGCATAGATGCGACCATAGGAGGCAGCCGGCACAGCGCAATGGCCCAAGGTGGCTGCACGGCACCAGGACAATTCAGGGGGACCTCGGGTCTGTGG